GAGAGAGAGAGAGAGAGAGAGAGAGAGAGAGAGAGAACAAGAGAGAGAAAATTGAAAGAGCAATCGGCGTCATCATTGTACGTCAGCGACGCAGGCAGGCGCGCGCACGTTCACACATTTACTCACCAGGTGCCAGGAGCGTGCTCCGGACTCCAGCAGGTGGTGCTGCTCGGTGAACGACGATGACAGCGACGTCGGACTCGTAGGCGGACTCGCCTTCAACGACGAGTTCTCTGCAAAACAAGCGAACGTACAGATGGCGCCACCAGCACAACATCGCTACTGCATATACGTCTGTCTACGTTGTTGATATATTGTATATCTTACATACATTATATTTATATATATATATATATACATATATCTGTATGTATATATATATATATTATAATACATATATCGTATATATATATATATACGTATTATGTATATATATATATATATATATATATATATATATCTGTATGTATGTATATATATAGTTGTGATGTTGATTGGGTGATGATGTACCTGTTAGTGACCGTGTTATCGACGGTGGCCAGGTGGCAGCACTTACCATATCTATTTGAAATAATACTGTTGTCCAGATTATTGAATACTATGGATTGCTTTGGCACAAGAACGAATGTGGCTCCATCGGAAACCTGGAAAAAACACAAGAACATCATGATTGATTGCGCAACCGATCTCTGAAAAAATGAGGGTAGATGGTGATGATAAAATCACAAGATCCAAACAGAGTTGGTATCGCCGCATGATACAATAATGCGTCTGCGGCACAACAATGGATTAATTGTTGAAATCATCATCAATAATGGAACACAAAACGTCGAACGTCAACACGAAAGAGAATCAGGAAACTACAAAGTTGCTATCCGTCCGGACTGCGTTGAAAGCGAAAACAATTACTAATTGATTGAACACACTGAACACAGTTGGCGGTCTAATATTCGATAAACAACTGATTGATTTTTCATCGATTCATCATCAATTATTGATCGATTGATTATTAATTTATTACCGAGTAATCACGTAGAGTGTTCAGGCGTCTCCACTCGCCGTCGACTTGCGTGATTCTGTCTATATCTTGCAGAGTAAGTCTTCCCTGCAAACCCGATCGCCACTCTAGAGGGAAGGAAGTACACGTCAGTCATGTACGGTCGGTCGCTCACACACGTATATACATGTGCTGCCTGAGTTTCCTGTAGGCTAGGCCAGCTAGGTTGCTTTCCTGCTTCCTCGCATTACTCTATCGATCACTGTCACACATGTAAACGTTATAAGGAAGAAAATCGAATATGAGAGAGAGTGGGGAGTGAAAGAGAGGGGGTGAAAGAGAGAGAGAGAGAGAGAGAACCAGAGAGGGAGAGATAGCGAGAGAGAGAGAGTGAGACAGAGAGACAGAGAGAGAGACAGAGAAGACAGAGAGCGGAGAGAGTGACAGAGAGGGAGAGAGACACGAGAGAGAAGAGAGAGAGAGTAGAAAAAAGAGAGAAGAGAGAGAGAGAGACACACACACAGAGAGCAGAAAGGGAGAGAGAGAGAAGAGAGCGAAAGAATATAGAGAGATGAGAGTGAAAAGAAGACAGACAGACAATACAGATACAGTCTCAAGAGACCGGAACAACCAAAATTAAGCAAACAGACAGAGCAGATCGGACACATCAGTACTCACCGAATCAAAGTCTTCGCTGGTCGGTCGCGTTGAGTACGGCGTCCAGCAAATAAGAGAGTGCTCAACGCCTTCTCCTTCACCTGTGAGATCGTGTCGCAGTCTAGCACCTTGACGGGCGACGGCAGGTGATGCAGGACGGGTCGAGTGCCCCACAGCCTGTACTCTGCAAAAACATCAACACACCGCCTGTACGTTACAAACAATTTACCACTCTGTAATCGTCTGCAAACAATTTACAATACACTGGTATCGTCTGCAAAGCAATTTACACACCTGTATGCTACAAACAATTAACGCAGCCCTGTATCGTCTACAAACATCAACCACCTTATCGTCTGCAAAATCAAATTAACAACAAACACCTGTACGTCTGCAAACAATTTACACGACCATGGTATCGTCTACAAACAATAAACGCACCTGATCGTCCCTGCAAACAATTAACCACAACCTGGTATCGTTTCAAACATTAACACTGGGGTGCCACCTGTAATACGTCTGCAAAACAATTACACACCTGTATCGTTTACAACATTAACACACCTATATCGTCTGCGAAATCAATTAAACACAACCGTGAGTTCGCTGCAAAGAAACGAGGATTCGTAGACACCTGTGCAGAACTCTTAACTCAGTTACGCAGGAAACTTGCAGCTAACAGCTATCCTACCCCAACCTCACTTCCTTCTCCTCCTCCTCCCCATCTCTCTCTCTCTCCAACCTCCAATCACGCCTCCTCCTCCTCCTCCTCCTACTCTTGCCTCTCCCCTAACCCCATCCTAACTTCCTCCCTCTCCCTTCCCTCTCCTTTCCCTGTCCTCCTCCCTCTCCTCTCTCTCACCTCCTTCCTCTCCTCTCCTCTTCCCTCTCCTCTCTCTCTCCCCCTCTCTTGCCTCCTCTCTCCCCCACCTCATCCACCCATCCTTACGCAGCGTACCATGGACTTGTACTCCACTTGTTGGCGTATGAGCTTGTCATTGCTCAGCGAGTATTTGGCTTCGGCCGTCACCGCGTCGACCGGTCCCTTGTCTATCTGCTGCTGCACAGCCATGCATAACTTGTAGAGAGGGGTCACCCACACTCTCCTGTAAACAACAACAACAACAACCATAACAGCAACAACAACAATAACCATAACAACAACAACAACAACAACAACAACAACAGGAGACATGATATCACACGGTCACTAACAGCTACCATAATATTGCAACCATGCATAACTTGTAAAGAGGGCTACCCACACTCTCCTGTAAACAACAACAACAACAACCATAACAACAACAACCACCACCATAACAGCAACAACAAAAACAACAACATCAACCATAACAATATGAGACTCGATCACTACCTCACTACGACAGCAAGACACATCACAACCATGCAACAGCTGTCACCTCACACTCATGACCGCCAGTCTTTATCAGACACCTCAGATAGATCAGCCGAGCTTTTCATTTAAATTCGATATACGATCATACACTGTTTGGCGGGTGAGGAACCGATAGGTGCACAGGGTGATGCGAGCAGGTTTGTAGGTAGCTTACCTGTAGTAGACGATAGAGTAGGAATGTAAACCAGGCGGAGCATCTTCTCAGCTACGGATTCCCGTTCTGCAGATAACGAGACACACAATGATGAGTGACGCATGTAGGGAGAGATCCCCCATGCAAGCACAGATACTGATGACTACAGAGCCTAAATTAGGTTTCCTGTACTGGTTCTCCGTTTGTTATGCAACACACTCGCGCTAAAGCTCTATACTTCATTACCATGTTTATTATCGTTAATTATAATTGTCATCCGTCAATCATCGTCATCATCATCATTCATCATCATCATCATCATCATCATCAATCAACTCATTATCATCATCAATACATCATCATCACAGTCACTCATTAACATAATCATCATCATAATCAATCATCAACCTCAGCTTAATCAACGTCATCAATATCAATCATCATCATCACAATATGATTGTAATAATATACTGCATGATACCTTCGAGAGCAGAAGCTTTTGGATGACATTTTCCTGAATGGAATTTTTCTATCAGCTCTGTACAACAGTGTCTTCAGTATTCTGCAACAGAACAGCCACAGTTATCATCACACGCACGCCGCACCACCCACGCACAGGGAAAGCCGCCACGCACACACGTCAACCGCATGACATCAATACGCACGACCGCACGCAGCACCACAGAGTTACCTACTCCACACCTCGCAACGCAGCACGCACCAGTTACGCCAAAACACAAGCACGCACGCACACGCCACCGCCCACGCCACGCACGAAACGCACAGCGCAGGCGCACGCACGCACGCACGCACGCACACACACACATTACACTGCAGGATCATAAAGCGAGCGAGTGAACGATATATTTTATGCACCAAATGCGACCATCGTCTATATTGTTACGATTCACATTATTATATTATTATCATTATCAAGTTTTATTTCACTAATATATTATTACTATGATTTTTATTATTTATTGTAGAATTGTTAGTGATATACTTCCAAACATTACTTTCGTTTATATTTTATTTTTCTCATCAACTAAGTCACATACGAGAAATATGCTTCAGTGTCAGATTTCACAAGCGAAACGGCTCACTCACTCGGTGCAGTACTCCATCTTGCCCTGCAGCGCCACCATGAGGAAGGAAGCGAAACTAACGCGGTCTTTCATCGTGAAGTATTTGTTCGCCTCGAGCGTGCGCACGAACGTCAGCAGGAACGTTCTATTGTCGACGAGCTGGCCGAACTGCCGTAGCGCCCTCTGTACGCCGGCGCGGCGACTCTCATCATCAACCTGCATCATGGTGGCCAGCGGAGAGAGACAAAATATATGTACTAAATATTAAATAAATATATATAAACCATCTACATACATACATACATAGAAGAGGGAGATAGAGAGGCGAGAGAGAGAGAGAGGAGAGAGAGAGAGAGAGAGAGAGAGAGAAGAAGAGAGAGAAGAGAGAGAAGAGAGAGAGAATGAGAGAAGAGAGAGAGAGAGAAGAGAAAAAGGAGAAGAGAGAGAGAGAGAGAGAGAGAAGAGAGAGAGAGAGAGAGGATAGAGCGAAGACAGAAAGAGAGAGAACAGAGAGAAAGATCAGGATAGCCTAGATCATGAATCTCTCTTCTGTTTATTCTCTCGTCTCTCTTATCTTTCTCTCTAATCCCTCTCCTCGTCTCTCTATCCTCATCTCCTCTCTCTTTCAATCTTTCTCTATCTCCGGCTCTCCGTCTTTTCTTCCCTATCTCGCGATAAATAGATAGATAGATAAGATAATAGATAGATGTAGAACACCAGGAGAAGCCCCGAGAGAAGGGAAGAGAGGAGAGGAAGAAGGAAGGGGAGGGGGAGAAAGGAACCGAGAGAGACGGGGGGAGAGCGACAGAGTGCACGCAGACATAGAGAAAGAAAACAGAATAACAGAAGACAGACACATCATTCAATGAGAAGAGAAAAAGTACAGAGGGAGAGGAGAGAGAGAACATGATATGAGAAAGAAAGAGAAGAGAGAGAGAGAGAGAGAGAGAGGAGAGGGAGAAGGGAGAGGAGAGATGAGGGAGAGGGAGAGGGAGAGAGGAGAGAGAAGAAAGAGCAGAGAACGAGAGAGAGAGAGAAGAGAGAAGAGAGAGAGAGCAGCGAGAGCAGAGAGGAGATAGACGAGAGACAAGAGAGAGAGAGCGGCTAGATGACAGAGGAGAGAGAGTGTGAGAGGGTGAGAGAAGAGAGAAGAGAGAGAGAGACACGAGACAGAGAGAGAGAGAGAGAAAAGCTAGAGAGAGCAGATAGTAGAGAGAGAGAGAGAGAGCGGAGAGAAGAGAGGAGATGAGAAGAAGAGAGAGAGAGAGAGAGAGAGAGCGAGATAAGAGAAGAGAGAGAGAGAGCAGGAGAGAGAAGAGAGAGAAAGAGAAGAGAGAGAAATAGAGAGAGAGGAGAGAAGAAAGAGAAGAGAGAAGAGAGAGAGAGAGAAGAGGAGGACAGAGAGAGAGAGCAAGAGAGAGACAGC